AAGAAGAAAGAGTAAATCTGAAGAAGATGATGAAGATTGGGAGAAAGAGCAGAGAAGAAGAAGAAATGGCTGAGTGGTGGGTGTGGGAGAGAGAGAAGAATAAGAAATGCCTGAGGAGAAACGACGGAACAAAGGAGAAAAAAAAGGAAAGGAAAAAAACAGAAGATAAATGGGTGAGGGTATTTAGGGTAGTTTGTGTGTTAAAAATTGAAATGGGAAGGTTTTTTCCGGACGGGGAAAAAGGAGAAACGGGAAGATTTTTTCCGGACGGAGGGAGTACAAAGAATTTCAAAAATTTATTTAAGTTTATTTTTCATATTGTTCTTATTATAATTGTTATTGTTGTTTTTATTATTATTATTATTGTATTTTTATTTTTATTAATATATTCATAATAGGTAAAGAAAATGAATAAAATTTAGATTTGGGATAAAGGGAGTCGATAATTATTGCAGAGTATTTTTTATTTAAAATATCTATGTTTTACCTCATACCAATTTAGATTAATAAAATATCCATTATATTTGGAACATAGTTTAGTGTCATGTAAATTTATAAAAAAAATAATACTTCTAATAAAATTGTACTCCCTCCGTCCCAGAGTATTTGTCCACTTTCATTTTTACACACCATCCAATGCACTTCTTTAATCCATTTTATCTTGTAATTTGTATATTAAAAAATTATAGAAATTATATATTAATAATCTATATGTTAAAACAAATCAAACAAGATCACACATGACTATATTTAGGCTTACACATTGAGAGAATTTGACGAGTCAAAGTGCTCAGATGAATAGTTCCCAAAGTCAAAAGTGGACAAAAACTGGGGGACGGAGGAAGTATTATTTATATTAAGAAAACGAATGAAAAATGATAAAGATGGCGAATTAGAAAAATAGAGACATGGAAAAAAATGAAAATAAAAATTATTTATAAACAATAGTTATGAACATAAAAACAACAACAATAATAATATAACAACAACAGTAGCACCACCACCACCACCAACAAATTCAATAATAACAAAAACAACAATTTAATAATAACAATAATAATACTAATAATAATAAGAACAATAATAATAGTAATAGTAATATATGAAAAGCACATCATTTTTAGAGTCGTTGTATGGAGAGTAGAAAAAGATTGAAGAAATTAGTAATAGTTGAAAAAACTAGAAGAAACAAAAAAAATATTGGAAGAGAATAAGAGATCAGAAAAATTAGAAAAAACTTGTAGAAACTGGAAAAAATTGAAAGTTAAAACTTTAAGTTCTAAAAGCTCTTTCTTAAAATTTGATACTCCGTATATCGTAAAAGTCGTAATGATCACTTAGACCTGAACGAATAAATTAGGTTATTCTTAATGTAATTTTTCATTAATGGATCAAAGTTTGCAGGCCGGGGGACTGAGTGTTTAATTGTTCAATTCATATCAATAATATAACAGATAAACAGAAGATGAAGGCCGAAACTCGAAAGAAAGACCTTATTAATCATTTTTATCAAACCTACCTACCATGCAACCCTTCAAAATTTAAGTTGAACCAATTTTTTACATTGATTTATTCTGAGCTAAACCATGGATTGGATCAACAGGTGAATTGGATGAAAGATCAACCAAAATTGATGTTGATGTGAATGTGAAGGAAGAAATCAAGACCAAAGATGAATTTGAAACGTCGTTGGATGGCCCTTCCCTGGTCCACACTACCAACCTAAGCTTCACCGTCATCCTTCCTGCCTACCATGGTGAAGAAATGGTTAAAATGGTACACACCGGCCCTCTTGGTTTTGTTTTTATCGATGTTATTTAGATTTTGGACAATACAAAAGAAAAAAAGATCGGAATATGACTAAAACATACGGATTACTTTGTAGAATGAAACAGGAGCAAAAAATTTAATTCCCAATCAGTATAGGACATATATTTATTTTCTTAACATAAAATTAAATTCATTGAGAAATTAAAATATAAAAAAGTAATTGCAATCCCTAAATAAGCTACCACCCCGATCTGTCGCTGCCGCTGCCACCTTGCGACGACCCGCCCCCACATCTATGATCTGGCACTACAAACAACCGTCATTGGCTCATCGTGACCACGATGGCCTACCATTGGCGCTGCTGAATATATATAGTATCAAACAAAGGTATAATATAATGTCAAACATGACAACATATAATACCACACACAAAATGAATAATGATAAATATGTCAATATATAATGTTAGCTAGACATGCAACTGTATAATGTCAAACAAAGGCATAACGCCACACATGTTAATGCATATTGTCATACATGTCAATGCATAATCACAAACATGACAATGTATGATGTCACATCACACTTGCCAATGCATAATGTCAAAGTATATTTGGACTCCTTTGTTTTAATTCTAATCTCCACAATATGTTTGAATCGTCTTTTTCTCTTTTCTTGACCACCTAGATAATGCCAAAGCGCTTCGTGGAAAAAACGGGGATTGCAACAAAGAGATATATACCCCTAAAGGATGAGACGGGAAGGACATGGCGGATCGAAATACATAAGAAACATGGCGAGTTTTTAATGCATGGGGAATGGGCGGATTTTTATGCAGCCAACAGGCTAGCCAAGGGGTATGTTTGTAGGTTTGAGCTTGTCGCCGGAAGTGGTGGTGATCAACTTCTTCAGTTTCATGTGAAGAAAAAAACACGAGGAAGACCTGGGGGCCGCAAGATGAAGACTCGTAGTAGTGGCCAAGGCCTTGCTGCAGCCAAAATGGTAAGTGCCTTTGTCGTTTGATTAGCTTAGTATTGATGGTGTATGGTTTTAGTAGATGGATGGATGGGTCAGCTTTACACAAACTTGGTCTTTGACAAGTTGTAGTGTTTTCCCTAACTAACACATATATATTAGGGCTCTATGCCAAATGAAAAAAAGGGTCTCGTATGGATCAAATTTCACTTCCAGATAAATATTGTGTGGGACCACACAGATAGAAAAAAAATCAAGCAATTCAATAAAATGATATATATATATATATGTGTGTGTGTGTGTGTGTGTGTATATATATATATATATATATATATAGAAAGAGAAGTTTTATTAAATGATCAAGAAAAAAGTACAAGAGTAGGGGTTGGCCGTCCACAACACCCAGGCCAAAGCATAAAAAGTAAATTCTACTAAAAAGGAAACAAAGCACTATATAACAAGGAGTAAGGAGCAAGCTACATGGAGTTCATTCACTGGATAACAAGGCCGTCCCCACCAGTTCCTTCATTGGAGTACCTTCACTGGACAACACCTAGGCCATCCCCACCATTCTATGAATGCTTTTAGTACATGGTACTAAAAAAAGAAACAAAGCACTAGATAACAAGCTTTGTTTGTCAATATTCTCTTGGAGTTCCTTCACTACCCAGAGGTAGGGCTGTAGAATATCCATTGCTTGAGCCAAGCAGACTTGTCCTGACCTGCATTTAAGGCTTATCTTGCCCTATTTGTCATAGCAAATTGTAAAATCAGCAGCTCTGTAGACTACTCTTCACCAGACTAGGTTCAAATAATTCTAATAAAAATTAAAATGAATCCCCTTCTCTGAAGCTAAACATACCCAGCCAGGTAGGCAAGTAGGAACAAACATGAGGGGGGACAATGAAGCAAATCAAAGGATTTCCAAACAATCTAAGTTGCAAACCTTCAATCATCCTGCTAATGCACTGTCCTTAAGGAAACTGAGTGTGTACTAGAGATATAGACTAAAGATTTCAGCCCTTGGTTGATCTAGATGTTGATGAAGGCCTAGTTAAGTTGTGAATGAGGTTGTATGAAACTGTTAGCCAAAACTGAAACACTAAAACTGCTGCTCCAAAGCAGCATAGGATCAAAGAAGAAAATCATCCTCATCATCTTCATTATCTGTTGCCATACTCTTTTTCAGTCTTTTCTTTGCTTTCTTCTTTTGGCTTTTTGTCAAAGGTTTGATGGTTTTCTTGGGACACACCTCTTTTTTGTTCAGGCAGCAAAGTCTAAAGCATTTGATGACTTCCTCTTCGAATGAATCTTGGGATTGTTCCTCCTCCCATACAAGTGGAGTTATTTTCCTACCTTCTTCAAGAATTTTTGCTTTGCTTCTCGTAACTATTTGTGAAGGTGAAATTGTTCTTGTGCCCCGAAGTTCCTTGCGTAGGTTTAAGTATTGTTTGACACACCTTGAGAAGTCAACTTGCAGAGGCTTAAGCTTGGAGTTTATGAATGCTCTATCCTCCCCGTCTGAGTGGGTATAGAGTATAGGTCCATCCCTATCCTCTATGAAGTCCTCCACTGCATTCAAACTATGTACTAGGCTCCTATCATGGATCTTTGAAAACGGATCCAGATGCTCATTGACTTTGTTCTGAATTCCATGTCCTTGAGAGAAAAGTGCTGCAAAGGTATTTTTCATCACAGGTATGAAGGGTGGAGCAAAAGGAGACATGGTAGTGCTAGGCAGAAGAGGGAAGGGATTTGGACAGTTCCCCCCTGGGTGGCATCCAACTGGCTCTCACATTCTTGATAATAAAGTCTCTTGGTTATCACCTTTGATGTGCTTATCAACCTCAATCTCCCTTTTATGTTCTACACTTCCATATTGAAATTGTTCTAATTGTAACCCTGGTGTTTCAACTCCCAAAGTAGCCAATTGGGGAGGAATCAGTGAAAGATGCTCAGCTGTCGTTGCAGTTGGTAAATTCTGAGGTTGTACTGATGTTTGAGCAATTGTAGTAGTGGCAGGAGCAATCTCAAGAGGTTTAGTTGTATCAGTCTTGGTGACCTTATCAATGAATGAAGACACTGCCTTGAAGAACAGAACCAAATCAGCATTCTTAGGTCCTGAAGGGATTAAGATGTATCTCTTCCCTTCATTTCTTTTCTCTTGAATCTTTACAAAGTCACCCAATCTATTTGAACCAGCAGCTAGTTCTATGGTACGGTTATCACCAAAGGAAAAGAGAGCCCAAGCTCTATTTACAGAAATCCTTAGAAGAGAATCCATAATCCATCTTAAAGTATCCAAATCGAACCAGAGATGATATCTTTTATATCCACACACAGTTATGAGAAGTTTTTATCATATTATGAGTGGAATAGCTCAAATACCTTATTTTGGGTTCGGAATGTAAATCTATGGTTGCGGCTAGATTTTGTGGCTATGTCTTGTTCCTTTCATCCCAAGGAGACCATACGAGAGTGGCTGAAGACATAGGACTCCACCAATTCTTTTGTGTCTGGGGATCTGAATGGCCATCTCCGTTTCTTACCCTTCCTATGGTGGATCCAGTTAGTATTGTAATCTGTAAATCTTTCCTTTTCATGTGATTGTGTATGAGGTCGGTGATTTGGACAGTAGGAGCACCGTGCAGAATAGCCATAGCTACCGAAGTTAGGTTTCCGGTAATTGTAATAGTGAAGATCTCGCCGCCGGGGAACGCTGCTCCTTATCTCTAAACGCTCCATATTATATATATATATATATATAGGGATTGACTTCAGTGAGATGACACCTTACGGTGAGATGACATGCTTCGGTCAGATGATACAAAGCTCACCACTGGTCACTGCAAAGCTCACCAATGGCCAATGTAAAGCTCACCTGGAAATAAGGCAAAGCTCACCACTTTGAACACCAAAACTCACCTTTTTTTTATTTTGAAAATTAAAAAATTAATAAAAAATAAAATAACAACACCGGTCAACCACCGGTCAGTGGCGGCGGCGCGGCAGATACCGACGGTGGCGGAGGTGGTCGCCGGCGACCGGCGACGGCGGCCGGCGGCGGCCGGCGGTGGTCAAAGTCCAGTCAGCTTTTCCTTTAATTATGGTCAACGGTCAATTGTCAAAAAGTCAACACCACTTCCTTTGATTTTTTTTTCAAAAAAATTCAAAGTGTTGAAAAAATATGGTGAGCTTTGCCTTAGAGTTTGGTGAGCTTTGTAGTTTGTCTTTGGTGAGCTTTGCATTGGCTAGTGGTGAGCTTTGCTTCATCTGACCGTAGCATGTCATCTCACCGTAAGGTGTCATCTGACTGGAGTCAATCCAATATATATATATATATATATATATATATATATATATATATATATATAAGATATATATACGAGGAGAGAATGGGTGTAGAGAGAGAAAGCTCCGGCGACAAAAATGGCGATACGGTTCAATGTCGATCTATCCCTAGGAAGAATATCGCGGTTGATGGATTTCGACGAACAGAGAATCCATATACTTCGTCTTGCTCCTCACAGCACACAACGAGGTTCAGAATAGACTCAAAGCTTTATTGCTTCGATATCTCCCAATCGCAACTACTTCTGTGAAGCTGGAAGGATCAAGAGCTACAGATTTTGGATCGACCAAGATTTAACCCGATGGATTTGCTCCTGTTTCGAATCGCTACTTCTATCCCCGGTAACCTTCTGGAATCGGACAAGAAAGGCAGGTAATCGTGACTTTGTTTTCTATTATGAATCCAATTGTGATGGCTTCTTTGTTAAAATTCAAGAAATTAGAAAGGATGGATTCACATCGGTGATAGTTCCAGAGAGTGATAATTATTTTGGTTTTAGACTCTTTCTTGCAAAATTGAGGCACACTGATTCTTTGGTTAAAGGTAGAAAGAGTTGTCTTCCAGTTGTTGAATCACAGTTCTGGTCATGTTCCAATACCTTTTGCTGTGGGGATGAGAACTTTTCTCCATCCCCTTCAAAGCTTCTATTAGAAGTAGATATTCGAACATCTTCAGGAATGGGGTACATAGATCAGAATTGCTGTCACAACATCTCTAGTACAAAACAAAATGTGAAGCCTACTAGTGTTCTTTGTTATAACAACGTTGCTTCTTCAAGTCCTACCATGATGGCAGTGAATGAAACACAGATGGGATTGAATCAAACCTCCAGAGTGAGTCGATTGAAAGAAATCTGCACAGATCAGTCCATTTTGCCAAACCAGGAGACTCCCTCAATAATCAAGACGTGCAGAACTTCATCTGCTGAATTTAGCAACCTTACTCAAGTTGATTATCTGGGTCAGAACCAACTGCCCTAAATTATACAAAGAAGGTCACTTACTCTAAGGGAATACCTCAACAAACCCACCCTTCAGCAGTCCTCAATGTTCATGCAATTCCTTTCCAGCCGGTTGCCTTAGAACTCCAACAACATTCTATCCCCCAGAGCTATCAACAGGGACCATCTCTTAAGGACTTGAAGGCAATGCAAATTGAGACAGAATCAATTAAGGCAAACAGGGCAGGTCTTCAGGTTCAAAATGGTAAATCTCTTAAGGAATTGAAAGCTTTGTCAATGCATAAGGAGGCTAAACTTAATAAGTCTACTGGCCATCAACCATTGAGCTTTTTTGACTTGAATTTAACATATGAATGCTCCAAACCTATCAGTCTCATTGACATGCCTTTGTTGATGACGGGAGGGGATGAATTGGACAGTATAGGGGAAGAGAAAGCTGAGGTTTGTGAGGAGCAGATTGAGAATGAAATTGAGGCGCATGACTATGTGGAAGAAGAGACTTTTCACAAAGGAAAAAAAGGCAAAGGGAACAAGAAAGCTAAGAAGAAATATGGGGATAACACCATTGATAAGTATGGCAATAGCTCAAATCCTCTGGCAAGTGGAAAAAAGAAAAAGAAGAAATAGTTAGGCTTCCTCGCAGAAATCTGGTTTAAAGTTCGTTTTTGTTTTTTGTTGCATGTTGAATTTGGAGTCATACCAATGTTTTTAATCTGCATTTTGGATTAGATTTTTAATTCGAGTTTATTTTTGGCCAGCTTGCGGGATTAGGGCCATCCCCTCCTTTTGTACTACTTTTTTTATTCCTAATAAACTCGGCAGGGTTCCTGCTAATTATATATATATATATATATATATATATATATATATATATATATATATATATATATATATATATATATATATATATATATAAGCTTATCCTCATACTTCACATTGGAAAAGTGGTCAAATTAATGTCCGGGAATCGGTATCGGCACCGCCCACTCCGGTACCGGTTCCAGTACCCATTTTTCGGTACCGGCACCGGCGGTACCGGTTCCGGTACCGTTATTAAATTTTTTTACATTTTTATTTTTTTATTTCATTCTTTCCTTTATCAATTTCATTTTTAGATTTTTTTTTTCATCCTTTCCTTTAACAATTGCACATTTACAATTTTACACTTTAAAAATTTAATAAAAAAGCAAAAAAAAAAAAGAAAATTGGGGGTGGCCGATACCGGTCGGTCCGGTACCGGAACCGCCGGTACCGGAATCGGAACCGGTACCGGCTGGTCCTGTATCGGAACCGCCGGTACCGGAACCGGTACTGGCCGGTCCGGTACCGGTACCGATACCAAGGGGTGGCGGTACCGGAACCGGTGGTTCCGAAACCGGAACTGTCCCAGAACCGTACCGTGTCCACCCCTACTTGATACTCTTTCAAACTATAACATTAATAAAAAACTATAACATATCCACAGTTTAGTATTTCAGACTCTTCTGTCGACTTTCAAAAAAGTTATCTTAATCCTCAGACTTTTAAAGATTTTGCCACATTAGAATTTCACTATTTTTTATTCTATTAATTTTTATTTTTATTTAATCAGTTATCTAATATGTATTTTTATTATACATTGATTTTTCGACAAAATTTGTTTATAAATATGGTTAATCATTAAAAAAAATCACCATAATAAAATTAGAGAAAAACAATATAAAATTAACATCTCCAATGGGTATTGTAGATTTTGGTAGTGTATATTGTTTTTTACATTGCCAAAAGTGTTTTAGCAATCCATTTTTTCATAGCTACTTAGAGCTGGCAATAGGGTCAACCGGATCGGTTCGGGATTGGATTTTTAGGTTCGAATATTTTTCGGATATATGCTATAATCGGTTTTGTTCAGAGCATTTTAATTTTGGTTCGGATTCGATTCGGTTCTATACATTTTTGGTTTTGGGTCAATTCAGATACGTTTTGGATATAAATCGGTTTGGATATATTTTGGTTTGGATACAATTGTGATCGGATTTATTTCGATTTTGTATCTAGTTCGGTTCAGATATATTTCAGTTTCGAATATGTTTTAGTTTGGTTATATTTCGGTCGAATATATTTTGGATTTATATTAATTTCTAATTAAAATTTATTTATCCATGTTTTTTATTTTATCACATTTATTAATCTATCATCAATTCAAATACTTCATATTATTTTATATTTTTTTTAATTATACTATCTCCACCCTAAATAGTAGGGGTGTTCAAAAATATTTGATCCGAAATATCCGTCCCTGATCCGGGCAGATCCGATCCAAAAAATGGATATTCGATTCGATATTTTAGTTTTCGGATATTTCGGATCGGATACCCAAGAAAAATTGGGCCGGATATGGATTCAAATTCTGGAAACTTTCGGATAATTGGATATTCGATTTTTTGGCTATATGTTTAATGTAATTTATGGATATATATTATGGCTATATGTTTAATGCAATTTTATGTTGATTTTGGAACTCAAACATTTTGGACTTCTTGCATTAGCATTTTGGAACTTTTTGTCTTAGTAGTGCTTTTTTTTGTTTGTTTAGGCCGAATTACCAAAGTTACTTTCAGATTGAATTTGATATCATTTTTTATTAGGCCATTAACTAGTGGTGAAATTTTGCTTTTAGAAAATCTAATAATCTATATTGAATTTAATATTATGGGTTGATTTTTCTATTTTACCTTTTTTTTTGTAAATTTTGGCTAAAAAGTTTACTTTTCAGATAATCTAGTGATCCGATTCGAAAATTCACATATCCAAATTTTGAATATCCGAATATTTTCGAATCGGATATGGAATGAGTTTTACCTTATCTAAAATTTTTGGATATCCGAATTTTTTTATCGAATCGGATCGATCCGATTGATCACCCCTACTAAATTGTCGTTCATTTTTGACTTTTTAGTCATATTTTATGTACAAATTTGGACTACAAATTATGAAAAAATATAAACTTAATTATGATATAAAAGTAATATAATTAAATTGATTTTAAAATTTAGTTTTGATATATCAAATTTTTATCACATCTACTAATATCTTTATGTTTATAAATCCAAAGATAAAATATAAATTCAAATAGTTTTACCCTTCAATTGAATACAATTTAGTAAAAATTGAGTGAAATTAGGTGAAATTAAGTGACTTTGATTTAATCCTTCCAACCCAAAAAAATATCACACTTCACTATTCAAAAATTACGGAAATTTTAATTTTTTGTGCACTTTCATTGGTTATTTGATAAAATAAACTATTATTCTTGTAACCTCTTATTTTGTAAAACTTTTGATATTTTTCTTTTAAATATGTAAAAAAATT